ATCATAAAGAAGTCGTAATATATTTCGGTTACAAATTACAGAGACCGCGGAAGGTGTGCTGTGTTGTTCCGACCAAAGAATTTTGTAAAATAGGGACATACCTTCCCTTTAACCTGCGACACCATTAAATGGATAATCAATATTTAGAAATGGAATGGGGTTTAACGTCCTACTGTTTTTGCACGGACTGGGCTAATGAAGACGGATATACACTATTAATGTCCTATGAGGGAAATTATGTGAACTCCCGAGTGCAATTCGCTCAATATGGATTATGAAATAACAAATAACTTCTATGTTGTTCATCAGTCATTTTTAAGATTATTCTTGGACAATAATCACATCAGGATATTTTTGAATAAATATCGGTAATATTAACAAATTACTATAACATAGATTGATTGGTCAGAACATATCTTTTAACCAATTAATAACACCTCTAATATAGCTATCATTTACCGGTTATAATGATTTATAAATTGTCCATTAGTTGTTCGCGTCTACACCAATATTTAAACCAATAATTGGTTGGATATGAAGGCGACCAGGATGAACAAACAAACATAGATTATTGTCGATAATACTCCGGAAATAAGTAAATTTCCACACTAGGAAAATCGTTGTAGTTTATTATCTAGGTATAAAAACTTATACATGTATATATCATAGCGTGCGTTTTCGCCCCCCACCCCCCACCGCTGCGACCCCACTGCCATCCACGCTCTTGAATTATGGTTATGAAAAATAGACATTCAAATGTCATAGTCCTTAGACTGCTATTTAAGGGTATACGGTATACGGTATTCGATATACGGACATGGCGGTTTACACGGCATATGCTATACGAAGGAATACTGGCCTGGTCAGTTATTTTCCCCACCGATTTTGGTACCCATCAGGATTCAATCAGAGCACAACTGGTCAAATTCCTGGCTTGAAGGTCAGGGTTTGAGTCGGCTCATTCTAATATGGATGGGGGGGGGGGTTAACTGGAAATAACTGTTCATGAGAATCTAGAATAATCTTCCATGCCTATAGATATGTCCATCAATTTTCAGAACTTTTAATTTGAACTTTTTACAACACAAATGCCCCATTTTCTACTCACCTCATGGAATTTACTCCTCCCGCAGCAAGTATACGCCGCAAAAAGAACGAACATGCACGATACCATGTATACGCGTATATAGCGTGCCTCTATACGCGTATAGACCGATGTAAACCGCTAAGCAAATTCTTACACAAGTATTCGCTATTCGCGTATACCTCTAAACGTATACCGAATACCGTATACCGTATACCCCTATGTAATAGGTGCTTTCAGAACAAAACAGCACATCCTGATTCGCCTCATGTATTTAGGATATTGGTGTAGCCCTGTTGTGCACAACATCTTGTACTACCTGCATAGATCCCCAATATATAATCACTAATGTGTACATGTCTTAAATAAGCATATAAAGACATTATTCATAGCTTCGGTTACAGTTATTAATCTTGATGTCATACTCACTAGAGAATTGATTCCAGAGATGTTTTATTTTCATCATGATCTAAGAGACAGTGAACAACATCAAAGATAAAAAAAATCGAGAAATCCTAGATGCCCTTTCCAATTTGAAAATGGATTTTAAACAAAAATCGATGAAAATCCTCTATAAATCTGATGATTTCATGCAATACGTGATATATATGAATATATCGTGAGTTGTTATAACGGATAGTTTAGCTCAAATTACACGTCTTCTTGCCAGAAATAATAGCAGGAGACTAATGGAAGAATTGTGTATTTGCCATTAAAACAGTATACCATGTTATTGTGGGGAGAGATTGAAGAGCAATATTGGAATGAATTAGTTACAGCTAAGTTTCTGAAATACAAATTCTAATTATCAAATAGTCAAATGTGGGTATTGGCGAGGCGTGCTACCTGTCATCTCCATGTCGTGTCCAGGGCAGTGTATATTAACCTCCCAGAACACCCGATACCCCATTCATATTCTATATGTGAATTTCACATAGCTAACAGAGATGATAAATTGTTGTGCGTATACTATGACATTCTTAATACGTCCGAAGTCCTACAGGGAACGACAGAGTTGTTGTGTATACATCTAAATAGGTGCGATCCATTTCGTTGGTCCGAAACCAATTGACCCGATTATTTCTGAGATGACTCGAAAACTTTATTTTATTTAAACGATCAATCTTTAGCGGTCCTACTAATCACCGACAAGAACCGCCAAGAGCATTTCTTTTGTCGATAGCGCACAAGGAATCAAAAATGGGTTGCCTGGCAGACAAGGAAAGGTATGTTGTAGATATGCATATTCTATGGGGACAGACTCAGGCGCTCCTGTGTCAACCTGCGTCATACAAAGGAATGTCTTTAGACCAAGAACCAAAAGTAATCTAAAACGGAACAAAATGTTGGTACATTAAACTGTAGCTTAACTGAATTATTGAGACTAACACAACATACGAGATATATCGACATAACAACACTAAGATAGTTCTTCCGGTATTAGTGGTACCAATGAAATATCGAGTTTCCTCTCAACATGGCAATTATAGTTTTATGAAACATAATGCATCATTCCAAATACAGAATAATTCTGTTAAATTCAATCTTTGATTGTTTAGATCTATTCTGTTTGTAAATCTACTAAATGTCTAATTTTTAAAGAGGTTTTTTTTAAATGTGACCAATTTGTTCAGACAAAGACGTAACCGAAGTCAGGGTTGTGGCGTATCACTACTGTGGAAGCAGATGTTACACAACCAGCGATTACTACTACGTCGCGCGCTTTAGATTAGATCATAAGGTCTGTCACTGAATGAAATATGGCGTGGTTTCGTCGATCCCCATCACGTACGTGACAATTAAGGAGTAATGCCGCATGTCCAACCTCGTGGGATTTCTCCGGACCCTCTGGTTTCGCCCCTCTCTCTCTATCTCTCTCTCTCTCTCACTCTCTCTCTCTCTCTCTCTGTGTTTTCTACTGCTATTAAATTAAATTCCTATAAGGACTAAATTCCTATAAAGACTAAGTTAATATCGGTATACAGTTCCCGTTTTTGTCCCACCAATTCTAACGATCACACGGCTTGATAAGCTAGCCAGACAAACATACTTTGTAAATTGCAATTTTTATGATTTTATACCCTAGGACATGCTAAAATTACGAATCCTTATACAACCACTGTAACCATAGTGATAATTTCTTAATATATTCAATTTATTGTCGTAAACTAGAATAGATTTAATTTGTAGTTTGTCTTTTCTATGCAGCAGACTCATAGATCAAATTATAAAATACTAGTATATACAGAGTAATTTTATTTACAGATAAGGTCGGGTATTAACAAAAAAGTAATGGCAACAATTTTATAGTTTGTAGTCCCAATAACCAGGGGGCATACTTGTCTCCACTTCTAAGGCCTAACAGACTTACTGGTAAATCATGGTAGATTTCATCTTCCCTGAATAATAACAATTTGCGCGTTAAATGACCGCCATTGATCAAGTCGTTTTTCCGAACTCGACGGAAGGAAATGATCGGAAAGCTATCGAATGCAATTAGCAGTGCAAGACAATAATTTCTTAAAATCGTGAAAACAGTTTGAAAGATATTGTGTTTTGCATTTTGACATGGAACGAGAGAGAGAGGGAGAAGAAGAGAGGGAAGAGAGAAAGAGAAAGAGATGGGGTTTAGCGTCTACTCGACACAAGCTGGGGCATTTCGGGACTAACACATGATTCAATTTTATTTTAATATTTTGCTTGCGCGTAGGGGTTTTTAGCACTGGGAGAAAACCCACGAGGTTGGACAGGCGATCCTACTCCTTGTCACGTATAACCGGGGAATCGAAACCATACCAGTTGACTCAGTGATAGACCTTATGATACAGCGCGCACGTGCTAACCATTCGGCCATCCAACTCCTGACATGGAATGGCATGGAACGGGGTTTAAACGGTCGTCTACGCTTCATTTAGGTCGTTTGGATATTAACATACATGTCCAATTGCTAGCAAGATTAAGTATTTGGGATTTCATATGTTCTTTGATATTTGCCAATAGTTACAGAATCAGTCTTTTTGTGAGGGATGCAATCTAGGGTTAGGGGTTAGATTAGGATTATAAAAATCTAGGATAAGGGTTATAATTACGTAATTAGTTTAGTGGCGGAACTACTGGCCAATTATGTATTCTTTGAATGGCATTTCGTAATTGGAACATAATGAAATAACACTATTTATGGATAACAATTGCTATTGTTTATTACACTATAATTGTTATCCATAAATAGTGTCTTATTTCATTGAGAAATGAAATCGAGTTTAACGTCCTACTGTTCTGCTCCGAACTGGTCTAATGAAGACGGGCATACGCCATACAGTGTGCTATGAGGGAAATTTAGCCCGGACAGCGCACTACGGCCTACTCTTATATCGAAGTCCAACTGTCAAGGGATCTTATACGTGCACGCCAATGTGTACACGGGATCTTGGATTTTCGTACCATCCGAGCAACTAGACAGCTGTCCTTGTCAGGTCCTCCGTCCTACATTACTGACAAGGAGGAATCACGCCGGAAAATCTAGATGAACTTTCTCGGCCAATGCAGGGATCGAACACCCGACCTCCAGGCTAGCAAGCCACACACCCCCCCCCCCACTTTCTAAGGAAAACGTATAACACTGATATCGCCAAAAGGATAAACACCAATTTTCTGTAGGAAATCAGAAAATCTTCAATAACTGAGTATTGAGAATAATTGGAACCTATATAATGTCAGATAAACGAAGAAACATAGGAGTGAGTAAGGGCATGTCAAATGCGCCTGGGCGTAGTAATACATATACATGTACCACTACAATTAGCCACACAGAAGTTTATAATATATATTTAATTTATAGGTAGATCTATATACAAATATTACACAATACAATTCTACGTCCATTTCAAAAATAAAAATTATAACTTGGTATTTACTTTTCAGACGTATTTGATAGACTAATATGCTTGCTCTAAGTCACTATATACTGATATTTTCTGTCCTCGCCTCTGGAAAATAAATAAATTAAATGATATGACGATTATAAGTTATGTAAAAAAGCTAATCATTAATGTACGAGCGAAAAACATAATACAATAAACACAAATACTATTTACATACAAAATACAAATTATAAACAGTTAGCAAGATATATTGGCATAGCCATATTTGTTTTAGATACAAATCTTTCAATATCTACAAAACAATTACAAACAATCGAATTAAAACCAGATGCTATTTTCGTTCCATTAATTAACATTAAATATCTACAAAACAATTACAAACAATCGAATTAAAACCAGATGCTATTTTCGTTCCATTAATTAACATTAAATATCTACAAAACAATTACAAACAATGAAATAAATACCAGATGTTATTTTTATTTCGCTAATTCTGTTAGTCACTACATCAACATGTGTGAGAAAAAAAACGTTCTGAGCTTGTGAAGACAACATAATACTATATTTGACATGTATTAGACCGTCAATCAAATGTCTCGCCAATCAACGCCTCTCATTTGTAGAATGTTCTGTTTCCATGGTTTTAATTGACAGGTTAATCGAGAGTTGACTAATCACAACCGGGCTGTTAATCAAGGCGTCTTATAAAAATATTTTCGACCAAGATAGAGAGAGAAAACAAACAAAAATATAAAAGGATCGAAATATTGGTACAATTTTAAATACAGGGTGTCGTCATTAAAGATGCATTATGTACGATTTAGATAAAGAGCAGGTCGTTTTTGCCATAATAGTTCATCAATAGATAATGTAAAATGAATATATTGAAAATTTCAGTCAAATTACTTTATTCTGTGCGAAGTTATGAGTGTTTGACGTTTTGACAATGTTGCATAGATTGTTATCGTACCAACGATACTTAACAATAGTGACTTTGCCACGGTGTTCTAATTTATTTAAAATCGTAGCCATGCGATACCTCAGGCAGCTGATTATAAGCTTGTCATGTTAATACATGTTTAAATAATAACTGATATCACATTTCAAGCCAAAAAATAAATAAAAAATAAAGACATGCAATAGGTAGATTTACATAATGCATCTTTAAAGGACACGTCTTCTGGAATCAGGTGAATCCTGTTAATATAATGTACCGACGTTTCTTTCGAAGCGGTTTATATCTACAGTAAAACCATTACCTCTACTGAAAGATATAATACTGTAGCTCAGACATCGGTATATCCTAAGTATGTTTTAGCTACAATTGGCGAATAACACATTGTCATATTACTATCGATTTTAATAGGGAATCAAACTACAAAAGTAGAAAATGACAAATCAGTGCTATGTAGACGGTCGTTCCAACAGTAATGTTGTATGAGATTTTCCAGAAATAGTAAGTATACATGAAATCCGCTATTATATATGTAAACAAACTATTACTTAAACTGATGATTGTTGTAAAATGCATGTGGTTTCTATCACAGCCATAAATAAGGCACTTGTTTCACCAATCACCCACTTCCTTCGGATTTCACGTCACCCTTGAAATTGAATTTAATACTAAATATCTAACCCATGCTGCAAATCATAATAAATAACATATCTGAATATATGGAGAATATCTATCTATAACTATACACACGAATCACTGTTGGAAGATAAGATTTAGTAGGGGTTTGTTTATAAATTTGTACCAGAATGACCAGAGCAAATTGGATAGCATGAGAAAAATTTGTCACAATTGGAACGAAGTCAACAGTTTGTGCGTCAACATGACGACCCTGTCTGGTATCACGAAATGAAAACTCAATAGTATAGAGCTGATCAAACCAGTTTTAGGCCCGACACAAAAAGGTCATTTCCTTTTAAAATCAAACCTATCATAATAACGAGAAGTAATGGGATTTACTGACAAAAAGATTAGGCTTGTACTGGAAATTGAAAGCCTTCTCGCGTACAATTACAATCTTTGGAACTGATGCTTCAGAGTGTTCGCCCATTCTGTCCATTCAGTATTGTAAATCAACTTCCTCTTGTTTGAGTTTGGTAGGAAGTTCCACAGTTGTCCCCCTTGGTAACTCTATTTCTTCGATGGTTCTTTCGGTTGTATCACTAAATGTTCTCTTTTTCGGTAAAGCATGATTGACAGTGAAATTCAGATCGACATCGCTTGTGACTAATGCTACTTCTGGTCTATTTCTCAGTGTCGACTTCCCAAGAATGTTTTCATCGCCGAAATTCATCATAGCTGCCAAGGTCATGTACTCTTTGGGGTTGTGGGAGTTGGTACTGTGTACAGCAGACATGTTGGACATAATTTTGACGTCGGTTTCTTCGGTTTCTTCTTCCTCTGCGATTGGATCGCTGAGCACATGAACAATGTTCGAGCGTTCACTGTCTGTTCTTCTATTGATTTTCCCATACAAGTAATCAGCGTCGCCTACCAACGTGTAGATTTGTCGCCCTTGATCATCATAGCTGTAACCAGGAACCGAGAGGACACTGCCATCGTTAAATACACCAGTATGAATTGTGGACAAAGAATCGACATCAATGTCCGACTTCCGGTCAGAGTAATGTGGGTATGAGTAAGGACTATTCCATAAATGGTAGTACCGCTTGGGTGCCTTGGTGATGGCAAACAGGCCGTCAGTTCTTACACTTTTGGTCATGTTCTCAACAAACCGTTTTCTGAAACAAAATGTAGATGTGGTTATAGAATAAGTACCGACAATGCTTCGTTTCTCACAGGTTCGTGTGAATGGGTTCTTGAATTTCATGAGCTCGGAGAAATGGTGGTTAACAATGCGTGTTTAATTCACATGGTGTCACTGGCCAATCTTATTAAAACACAGATCTAATTTCGTTTCGTTTTTATAGTTCAAAATTTCGATTTTACTTGTCTTTACTACATGTAGTGTAGGCCATCGAAAGTATAAAAAACGAAACGAAAAATAGATCTATATTTTAATTAGATTGTGTCACTGGCCTGACAAATGCCCCCCCCCCCCAACACTCCTTGCCCAGAAAAGCTGCCCCTACAGTTTTACGGGTACATACGTCAAAATGCACCACATTAGTTTTTATTTCTTATATAGCGATCCGAGGTGCATTCTTATATGATGTGATTTCTTCGTTTCTGCAAAAGAATTGCAAGAATCTCTCGATGGAAAATCCCCAACAACGACGGGTGAGACTCTACCCCGCCCTCTTTGTGACGATGCCACTCGGACGTTCCAGCGCCCCTGGTGTAAGTAGAATGATAAAATCAGAACGTAGGACATGTATTGACTAGTCAAGTAGTATCTCGCGCTCGTCACCTGCCACTATTTGTTCTTGGCTTAAAATCGTATATATATAAAATAGAAATCCTAATCCGCGGGATAACATACCTCCTTCTACTAATTCCGATAGTTAAAATGGCGCAGGTTATGATAAGCAGAGCCATAATACTAGCAGCTATAATGGCAGCCAAAGGGAAGGCAGCTGAAATTAAAACAAAGAATACTTTACTAAAATAATTTTCGCGAAGTGTAAATGTGCGATTCGGTTATAGATTGTTTCGTCCTGTTGCTGCACCAGTGGCACGTCAAAGATATTCTCTTATACATGGTAAATGATGAAATATTGTTGTGACATACGAAATGTGATCACATGCATTGGGTGCCATAAAAATATCTCCAAATATATCGATAATTCTGTCCCCATATTCATATACAGTATAGGCTTACAACAAAATGAAATGAAATGAAATGGGGTTTGACGTCCTCCAAACTGGGCTAATGAAGACGGGCATACGCCATACAGTGTGCTATGAGGGGAATTTTGCCCGGACAGCGGCACTACGGCCTATTCTTATATCGAATTCCAACTTTTACGTACACGCCAATGTGTACATGGGACCTTGGCTTTTCGTCCCATCCGAACGACTAGACAGCTGTCCTTGTCAGAGCCTCCGTCTTGCATCACTGACAAGGGGGAACTACGCCGGAAAATCTGGATGAACCTTTTCGGCCAATGCAGGGATCGAACATCCGACTTCCAGGCTAGCGAGCCAGCGTCTTACCCACTTAGCTACCGTGATCCCCAGGCTTATAACAAGCCATATCAAATGCAAATCTATTAAACAGGAACCCCATCTTCGCATTAAATTATATCTTCCGTAGGGCCGAATTAAAGGGAGGGGTGGGGCTGACCGGGATGTAGCCAGGACCCCACTATGCAATCGAAACGCATCGGAACGTACCAGATCGTGGACTCGATAGGGAAATCCTATCGGAACGTATCTGATCGTATCTGAACGGGAAATCAGATCTTGTCACCTAAAATTGACCAATCGTGACTATATCGCTCCAAATCGTACCAGAACGTATCGACCCGCATCACCTTGTATCCAAGTAAAGCCTAGCTCACAAACCACAGTGCGTGCTACTACGGGCAATCTACTGGGGAAATTTTTTAGTAAACCCTTGTGTGAGACTTACGCGTCACTTGCGTGTGTAAGACTTACGCGGCACTTGCGTGTGTTCGGCACCGTAGAAGATCGCAGACTGGACATAGAGACTTTGCGAGCTAGCAAATTCTACGACCGGTGCGTGCTAAAACACGTATGGTCGGTTGTGAGCTAGACTTCAGTTTAACTTTTATTAAAGTCGGTGGGGCACAGTACACAGCTTAAAGTCAGTAATGTCTGGCATTCGCTATAAACACTTACATCTTTACATCCGCCAACACGCTCTTGCGGAATATGTATTTAATGTCGGGTATAATTTGAATAACGTGTTGAACTATTTGCTCGGATGTTCGTCACGTTGTACATATTGAAGTAAATAAGCACCAACGTGAGGTATTACATATTGTACACATTTAAACAAATAAACAACGGCATGTTTACTTACACAAACCACCTGAAGCAGATGCTGGCTGAACTCCACCCGTTTCATTTAACACGGTTCCTTCGATGGGCCCTCCGATAGGCCATGGGCATGCAAAAGTTGCAAGAGTGTCAACTTCTGTTTTAGGAGCTGTAAAAAAAAATAAAACTTTATTATGTTTATGTTAGGTAAAGAAAGAACACGAGGGTGAAAAATTGAAAGACGGTCTAGTTCGGCTATCCTGGTTTTATTACTCCGTGCGAGAACAACAACCTTACGTTCCAATATGTACAGGGAACGTTTTTATACATGAAATGAGGTTTAACGTCCTACTTTTCTGTACTGGCTAATGGAAACGGGCAAAGGCCATACAGTGTGCTGTAAGGGTAATTACGGCCTACTCTTATATCGAATTCCAACTGCTATGAGTTATTTAACATGCACGCCAATATGTACACGGGTTTTTGTCCCATCTGAATGACTAGACACTGCCCATAACAGGTAACTTTTTTATATACAAACCGAGTGACTGACCGTTCGGGGGAATATAAGCCAACGAGAGAGTGTTAACTTACTGTATTGACAAACAAACGGCTTCCTTGTATCACAACCTCCGTCACTCCAGTCCCATTGATCCAGTTCATTATACATGTGACCACACGTTACTGTAGGATAATCTGGTTGACTTCCAAATACATTACTCACTGAAATATCAACCCAAAAACATTACTCACACATTTAAACACCAAAGTATTAGGTTAAAGCAGGGGTTCTTCTGGGTTTAATGTGTTATGGGGAGAATTATATTGATCTACTTTAGTCCGGTATTTTGTACAATGGACCCCAGTGAAACCGCACACGTTACGTATCCAGAGCCTCGTCTAAGGATTTGGTCGTGCGCGGCAATGTCTGGCGAAACCCGAACCGCCAGCACCGTAGGTGCGAGCCGCGCGAACACCGCAGCTGTGAGCCCGCGCGACGGCTTTGGGGGGCCATCCCCCAGAAAAATGACTCCCTTAGACTCGATTTCTGAGCACTTAAAAAATACTTTCGGAGATTTGAAACACTATTAGTTTTGGCATCTTGTTAAACCATCGATTGATTAATACCCTGTAAAATCGAGATCAAAACACTGCTGCGGCTGACCCGCAGACAGAAATATACCCATAAAACAAACAGAAAGACGATTTTGTAAACCTACGCACCATGATATAGTATTGGCAATGGGAAAAACCTTGTCAGCGATTTTCAAAACGTATGTATGTTGCCGCCCAGTCTTCAACTTCTGGGCTCAGTAGGCTTAGTTTGGCCAGTGTGCGGCGGCGGCGCCGCCTAGTCACCATGTTAAACGATGCTCTGTGCGTATCTATTTGTTTCCTTGTTTCCATATGGTACCTACTTAGGTCTTTTGAGTGTGATATGTATGTTTACTATTTTATTAGCAATACTGTCAAAGGCTAAGGTCGCATGTTTTGTAATTTAAAAACAGAAATCAAGTACCGGTGCCGAGCTATACCAGGAACCGAGTCCGTTACCCAGCACCCATTTTATACCCTTATGAACTGTTTATACTTTTCCTTTGCGGGGGCGGACTGGAACTCGGACCATCGGCCCGATTGGGAAATAAATAAATAAAATTCATTTTCGCATCCACTGAAAAATATAATGTCCTAACTGTGAGGAGAAAAGGTGAATTAAGCTAGTTTCGTTTTCTCGTCATGTCACGTATTCTTCACGGCAATGACGGTCAAGGAAACCAATTGGTCGGAGGGCCCAGAGCTACCCAATCCGCCAATGTTCCTGTTTGTGCCTCTCTAGAAGACATTTAACATTTAGCTATTGGCGTAAAAAACCATGTTATAAATCATACAAAATACACATATCGTGATTTTCACCTTTAGATCACTCCCAGACCGGAAATACAGCATGAATGAAACAGACACGTGTAATAAATGAGATATGTCTGTGTGATATTTGCATCAGAAAAATAGGTCTGTACAATTGTAAATATCAAAGTACAACAAAATAGAAATGAAAATGAAATGAAATGGGGTTTAACGTCCTACTGTTCTGCTCCTAACCTGGGCTAATGAAGACGGGCATACGCCATACAGTGAGGGAAATTTTGCCCGGCAGCGGCACTACGGCCTACTCTTATATCGAATTCCAACTGCCAAGGGATCTTTTACGTGCACGCCAATGTGTACACGGGACCTCGGTTTTTCGTCCCATCCGAACGACTAGACAGCTTTCCTTGTCAGCCCCTCCGTCCTGCATCACTGTCAAGGGAGAACCACGCCGGAAAATCGGGATGAACTTTCTCGGCCAATGCAGGGATCGAACACCCGACCTCCAGGCTAGCGAGCTAGCGACAACAAAATAGGGTAGCTAGTGTACGACACTGTCACTACGTTTAACACAATAAATCTTTAATGAAAAACGCATGGTAATATTTCTTATCTCGATAATTGTGCAAAATGTTTAGCTAAACTCGTCGGATTTCGGAGACTGGACATAATTTCCTGTCAGATCTCGAATGTTAGAACCAAACGTGTAAAAACGAGGACACGCCATCATAATGCCGCCATAAACATACTTCAAGAAATACTTAAATATTATACAAAGGTCTTGATATTGAGAATTAGGTGGTTAGTAAGTAAATTGGATAAATGTATTTAAAAATATGCAACTATCCCGCTTTTCCACCTACAGTTAGAGCTATTGAAATAAGTTTTAGTGAAATTTGACATTTGGAAACTTGGTAGTGGGTATTCCACAGGGTAAGATTTAGAATTTCTGAGACGTTAGCTACACAAACGATTTTAAAAACTACAACCACATTCATTTAAGCAACAGCTTGTTCAGGTTATGCCTAAATCCGGTACTGATAATGATAAAGATATAGAGAGAGAGGAGACTAAATGTTACCAAACACTCAATTCTAACAAAAGGTTAAAGGGCATATTTATATATGACAAACGTTCCCGTGTGATTTTAATATGTATATTTAAATGTATTTACATATAGAGTAGTGAGAATACAAACCATTAAATCTAGATTAATCCACCTGTAATCTGATATAATAATCACATTAATTATACCAGTATCAATAAGAGTTTGAAGACCAACATCATAATTAAATACAGGTTGATTAAGCTACGGTGGTTAGATTCACATACATCACTAATACCGACAAAGAGAAATGATAAACCGACCAAAACGGTAACGCTCGTAAAATTATTTTAATAACCGAATGTTCAACCAACTTCTTAATAAGACGTTTCCATATATTGCTCCATGGGTTGTAGGTCTGGACCCAGCGAAAATTTCTAAAATGGTTCGCATAGGCCAAAGAGACGAGAATTTTAATCTGATTAAAATACTGATCTCTATTTTGTTTCGTTTTTTTTATACTTTCGATGGCCTACACAACATGAAGATCTGACAATTTGTACCCGAAAGTCGTATCAGGGAGTCGCTCGAGCGGCTTTTGACTCAATGACGTCAGACATTGATTTATCAATCAGCGTTGACGTTTCTATTCTAGTGGTTTACCCAGAGTTCCGTGCATGCCACGCCAAGAAGTGGCCGTAACAGACCGTTTCATTGGTTTGTCCCTCACTTCAACCAAAACGCGAGTTATATAACAACTCTTCCAGTGTAGTAAAGACAAGTAAAACGAAATTTTGAACTATAAAAACGAATCGAAATAGGATCTGTGTTTTAATCAGATTGTATGGTGACCTGTGACCAGCTGTGTTGTTTCGAGTTTTATCCTAGACAAACTACAGTTAATCCATCACCCGGTAGCTATGAGTTCATAACCACAACTTTCTGATTATTACCATGTATACAAATCTTGTGATAGGAGAATACTTACAAGGAGTGAAATTCCATAAGTGATTAGTTGCACCGATCCAATGGCTGCCTTTTATATATGGTTTAAATTGATCCATGATGGCGAAATCTTTGAGCACAACGACCAAATCACCACCACGTATCCGACATTCTGCTCTAGCCTCGATCCAGTTTAGCTTATCAGGACCAATCCACATACAGTCATCATTTACATAAAAGGTACACTGTTCAATCTGTTTACCTGTAATAAAAGTTAAAATAAATTCATCTGAATGTCAGATGTGTGTATTGAAAACAATAAATACTGTTTTTCAGGACATGAACAGCCAAATACAATTCTTGTCGCTCTTGCTATGGTGGTAGAACCCAAAGAGGCCCTTTTACCCTCTTGCTAATGATTTTCATTTGCTATGACTGATGATGGTCGGTCCGGCAGTTGGTCAGTTACTCCAAAATCAAGAAAATGGTGAGGCAATGAATGGATGTAATGCTATCTAATATCTCGTCAACACAATACTTTGGTCATTTTGAGAATAAAGTATTGTCATTTTCATTTCGTTTCCACTTATGATTGCCAACTGTCAAGGGATCTTTTACGTTTACACGGATGGACCTCGGTTTTTCGTTTCACCCGAACGACCAAGCACACTTTCCTTTTAAAATGGCGTGCGAGATTGGAGAATTTTATTGCCCGTGAAGGTGGTTATCAAGAGCTGGCTAACCCAGAGTGTCAGAGGAAGATTCACACCACACCTTATCAAATAGCCTATATATTACACAGATTTTTTATAATTCGTCTATTGGAGCTTCCTTTGTCTCCCGGCTCGGGTCCCTTATGTTTCTCTTTTTTAAAATAGTTTAAAAACTCCTTTTTTAATTTCGATGATTTCTGGAACACTTACACTAAGTTACAGATAATATAGAAACAGGCTAAAATATCCAGTTTTTGTTGAATCCTGAACAAATTTAGGGGCTTCTTTTTTTAAAAAAAATTCGATTAGATTGCTGCCTCAAAGGTTTGAAATGGAAATTAAGAGATAAATACATACGGAAATTACAGATGTATGGATTTTTGGTAAAACAGGGTTCACTTGATAATTCCCGTCTTACTGTTGTCTTTTCATCTACAACACCACACAATGTTTCTGTTGACGTCAACGATTCAGAGCTGTCTAATATTATTCCAGATCCTAGCAGAGAGAAAATTATCAATACAATCAATATAAAATAAATATCAATTATTGAATCATTAAAGGGCAAACTTTACACCCCTCACAGTCTTTAATCTGAGTTCCTGCAATAATATAGAAGCCTCGGGGTTTTCTTTTGTCCATTTGATTTTGTATTTTGACTACTGGTTAGGATGGATTTGGCTTGATTTTTATTTTAACCAAGACTTCAGGCGACGATGGTCAAAATCCGTAGACCGTAGCGTAGATGGAGGGACAACTTCACTAGATATGGATTAAAGTTCGCAGCATTTTCCACATAATGTATTGTAGTATTTCAGCACACTCTGCAGTTAACACAAAGATATTGAATCATCATAAATCGAGGGATTCAAATGAGCGAGTTAAACTAATCCATGAATTTGGATGATGCCACAGTAGTACATGTGTGTTACCTGCAGAAAATGTCATAACCAGGCAGATGAAATTGGACCAACATTAGTGAACCTGCACCATACTCGAACTCACCGACCCCCTGTAGCACTACTGTAACGATCCACAGCTGTAAAATTGATATCTGGCCTTACCTTCTTTTGAATAAGTATG